GGGGGGGGGGGGTGATCAGAGAATGGGAGGGGGACAGGTTTACCTTTATTTTTTTTGTTAAATAATGAATTTTTCTTTTATTCCGTTCTCTTCATGATCATTCGTCGAACCGTTGTTATCGGTTGGACGGAATTTAGAGGTGAAGAAAAAGAGTTTGGCACGTGTGACGAAATCTCATAGGAAATTCTGGCGAATTCGCTGGAGAATTGTAGGGCATTTCTATTGGAGGTAGTGATGCCGCGAGAGACTTTATGAGACAATAGTTTGGAAAGATTAAACATGGAAATGAAGATTGTTCGGCTATGAAGGGAAATATGAAGGCAGAATGAAAAGATTGAACATGGAAATGTTCAATCTCTCTAAAGTGAACATGGAAATTTTTGGTCTCATCTCAGTTTCGAAATACGCAGTATCAACCCGAGTCGAACATTAGGACCTGAATTCCCTCTTGAACACCCATCATGAGTAGGAGGACCAGGATGAAGTTAGGGTGTATTTACATTCAGAAAGACCCCCTGGTTTCCGCCTGAACGTGCGAGTTATTTCCAAATTCCGAGGGTTCAGGAGGAAAACAGGTGTGTTAAACCTATTTATCGCCTGCACCCCCTAAAATGTTTTCCACTCCATCCCTCCTGGAAAGAACCTACAAACCCTTTCGAGGTATTTTTATTTATTTTTAATTATTAACATGAGAAGTACGGGTGAAAATTAAGGTCATACTCAAGGGTCATATATAAGGGTAAAAAATAACGGTCAGAAACGACAGTCAAAAATAAGGGTGAGAATTTCAGTAATTTTCACCGCAAACAGAAATAAACAAAATAGTGAGCTACTCAATCATCCTGGCTATCAGGGTTAATTCAGGGGATATATGATTCCTTTTCATTCGACAGGAGGAGAAGGGGGAAAAAAGTATCAGTTGAGAAGAGTTTTTCCGCCTTTAGGATGAGGCAGGATCATATAAGGAGTTATTCAGGATGTATAGGATGAACAAAGGAGGGAAATATATCTCAAGGCGGTAATAGGGGGGTATAAGGTCCAGATATACGACTCGAGGAGGTAATAGGGAAGAATAAGGTCCAGATATTCGACTCGAGGAGGTAATAGGGGGGAATAAGGTCCGGATATTCGACTCGGGAA